CGAATCAATCTGTTTCTAAATAGCCGTCACTGGCGATTACCATGATTCGATCTACGCCGCAGTCCTCGTCGTGGTCATTCTCTGGAATCGGTTGTGTTGCATTAGCCAAGTATCGTTTGTTGATTAGTGACGATGATCGGATAAGCATTCGTCTGCCAAGTACATATCCGATGAGTGTCACAAATTACGGACCTTCGCCAATGCCGAGTGAGGCCATGCACCCTAAAGTTGCCACTTTGGTGTTTCACTCGTTTTTTTATGTTGGTCGTTTGAAGGCTGGACGACCGTTAGGCAGTCGGTCGACAAAAGCCTCCGTAACGGATGATAATTATAATTACCGCATAATGCGGCCGGAGGAAAGCCGATGCGAACGCGGATCAGGATTCGCAGGCCCGATGGGGCCTGATGGCCTACAGTGTAACGTCGATCGTGTCGTCTGTCTTCACCTGGCCATTCGATCCAGCGGCTCCAGTATCTCAGCTCATCTCGCCGTCGAGTGCTTGAGGCGTAATTGTTTAGCAAACGAATCTGAGTGAGGAACGGAATCTCGGTGCATTCGCTCAGAACGTAAAAAAGACCCAGTAAACGTCTGAAAAACTCGCACGGCTCTTTTAAACCAACTCGTGAAAGGGGGCCATTTTCAGCAGTTCACCTGTCATGTTGTAGAAATACGATTAGAATGTCGGAGAGACCCAAAAGGGAGTCCTGCCGTGAAGTCACGTGGAAACGGGCCAAGGGGCAGGCCGACGCCCGTGTGGCAGGATCGTAACGAGAACTTGTCACCGTCGCGCTTGAGCAGCCAATTCATCGATCTGGACTTGTCAGATTGTTGGATGACCAGGACCATTGGTTACGTCAAACGTCCTGAAGCGATAGATAGCTCGTGTGACCCAAAGTGAACAGCTGATCTAATTTTTGATAATAAATGTATGGATGGATATGGCTGAAGACCGTGTACGGTAGCGAGTGGGTCGCCCCACGCTACCGGTTCTTCATTTTAGCGCGCATATCAACAAATGGCGCTGTTATCCTGCCCCTCGTGATTAATTGCCGCAGGTATTCATCAACGGCAGAAAGTGTCGCACACTGACGACCGGCCACCGGCCAGAGTGAACCTTCGACGGTAACGCGTCGTAGTACATCCGTGACCGGAAGCTGTTCTCCCGATCGCTGGCTGCTTCTACGCCGAGTCGTGTAGAGAGGATTTGAAAGCGAGAATTGCCTTCGTGTTTTTCCAGTTCCTCATTAATGAGGAACGTGCGAGGTGCAAGCGCTCGTTTACTGACGTTGCCGACTCACGGAGCGAAACGGAAGCGTACTTTTCGAACTCGACAGTCAGTGATTCAGTGACGATGACCGCAACCTCGGCTTTTCTTGAAAGTAGTTTCGTCTGCTGCTTAAGCAATGCGAATTGCAGCCTTACGAGGCACTCGTATCAGTCAGCATGACCGTACCTCCCTACGATTCTGGCATGGTCACACCAAAGCACCATACTGTCGCTGTGGTTAGCAGGTTAACGAGAGACTTGCTACCCGTTTTGCTGGTTGCGCCAGAACAACGTTGAGTAAATTGTTTGTTCAGTGGAAATAGCGGTTAAGACAAATTTTGTCTTTTTCACACACAGTTCGAAGCTGGCGCCTCCGAAGTTCGAAGCCGACCTCACTACCGCGCTCCAATCGTGCTTACTATTAGCATAAGTTAAAGAATAATACAATAATTAAACTAAATTTGCATAAGTAAATAAGTAACAATTTAGGTGCAACGGTCAAAACTGTCTGTTCGGTTTGTTGATGGTGGTCATAGTCACACGACCTACGGTGAAACTACACCGTCGTCAGTGATGTTTGCGACAATTTGCGGAATCAAAAGCCCATAACGATGGCTGACTGAACTGCCAATGAAAGCGTCCAAAATTTGTCGCACAGCGATCGACCCTAAACTGCGTCAGTGCGCAAACATCTGACATGCGTAGTGGCTGACCTTGGAGCGGCCAGTGGCTTGTTGGTTTAGATGGCTCGAATCTCATCAACGTCTATTTAGAGGGAAGAAATGGAATGAGGGAGGGGCAGTTTTCGCCATCATGTATGTGAGGATTCGCAGGGACACTGGTCCCCTATTTTTCTTTCTGCTTAACAACGGATCTGTTTCAAAAAGTGAGGAAGCGTTCTGTTGATCACAGTTGTGTCGTGGACTCGTTGGCCAACCGACGTTGGATATTAGCCGCTCTCAGCGACACAGACTCAGAAATGAGATGACTGGATTTCAATAGTATGCATATTTAATGATTTCGTGCACTTGCCACTCTCCATGTTACAAATTCGACGTCTCCATTGTGAATGGCGGACAAGAGAAGTAGTGATCGCATGATATGGTACGGACATTGAAATGTATAATCCGTAGCAGTGAAGATATAATATAATTCATTGTATCACGAACCCCAATACAGGGAACTGTCGGTGCAAAAGTATTCGAGTTCACAGTGGTTGTAATACCCTATACGGCAATCTTTGACATAAGAATGTGACAGTCTAACCTCAAACCGGAAGCGAAGTTATTTGAGACCTGTGTCCAAATTAGTTCTAAAAGGAAATATGTTGAAATGCATTCAGTGGGCAATGTTCGCACCAGGCTGAGAACAATAAGTGATACTATGCGATGATAATAAGTGTGATCCATCCTCCAAACAGAGAGCGAAAAATTATTTTATCCTGACCTGGAAAACGAAAAGTAGCGAGTTGGCGAACGCCAAAAGGTGTCTCCTAAAGCCGCTTCCCACGGTGGTTCAAGTAGCACCAGGTTGTCACCGCTTGAAGCCATGCATAAGGGTCGTCGAGGGCCAGCGCAAGGCGCTCTCGCGTCACGGTTATCGACGACTCGTG